TAAAGTTCTTATTGTTTAAGAATTCGTTACTTTTGAATTTWCAAACTTGGATAATTTTTTTATTTAGTTCTGATATTGAAAAATAAAAACAGCATTGCATTGTAAATATTCTCCTCTTAGAGTGTGATAATTTGTTGTCTTAGCTTGAGTGATTCTTCCACATGCAAAACAGTTTTCGTTATTCTTACAATGGTAAGATGAAAACAACACAAGCGGGTGTAGTGTCTTTTTAAGCAATTGCTACACTTTGGAGTAAGCTATTTACATAATTAAGAACTATAGATAGTTCCATTTTTTTATTTAGAATATGAAAACTTCTTTAAGTTGGGTAGCTTAAAAATTCAAATACATTTTTTTGGTTTGGGGAGGAGGAATTAAGCATGATAACACCATTGGATAGATAAAATGACATATTTTTTTATTGCAATGAGCTATTAATTACCATCTATACAACTTAACGATAATCCATCATAACTGAAAGTTAGTTATTTATTTTTTTTAAATGTTATCAATTAACAATTCTAAATTAATCAAGATCACATTCCAACATAAAAAATTAACTTTAAATAATTCAAATCRCCAAATTGTATTTAACAGTTGTTACTCGCATGTCTCTATCATGCAAACGCTTAACATAAAAAATATATGAGATTATAATCACAGTTTATTTATAGTTAATACATTACAGAAAATGTACTAATTATTGGTATTGGAGAGAAGAAGAAAAATTAAAGTAATAATTCAATTATTTTTAAGTTACATGAGTTTGAAAAAAATGAATTATTTAAGTACTTATTTTATTTTAAACAAAAGTTTTAAAAAAACCGCCTGATCATAGAATATTTCTATGAAAGTTTGATAATATAAAATTATAAACAAACTGTGTATGTGTTATGTTATATATCTGTAAGATACAGAAAACACACACAGATACGACATCTTATTATCATTTAATTAAATATCATTATATCTTCATTTATTTCTATTTAGAAAGTATACTGATGTATTTTTGTTTACATAAAATTACATTAATAAATTCACTCCATGCTTTGCATCTTGCATTCTAGGTCATCAAATCTTATGTCTTAATATAATATTCTAAAGAAACTGTGTATATATTACTGTAGTCTGTGACTATCAGGCATCAATGACAGATTAGCAACAATTACAATGGATAATATGCTGGAGTGAGTATGTGATGAACTAATGAATTTGACTTTAAATTAGTGTTGCTCCGTTGCTTGTGAGATTAAGGGAACCCACATCAGAAAGATAGATATGAATCTACCAGAAACTGAACAACATACCTATAATATTTTTTATTTCATTTATCAATGATGACTAAAAAACTTAAAATATATAAAAAAAACACTGATAACCATATAGAATACCCTGTATATTTATTTCCTAAAATTAAAATAATATTATGAGTAATGTAACTTATAAAGTATAAATTAAATTTGCGCCTTGATCTTTATGAAATAAGATTTTAGTTACTATTATTTTTAGCCATAACGTTTTCTAAAATATATTGTTTTTATAACATATATTCTAGTTTACTAAAATGTCTTTAAGTGTAATAATGAACTAATGTTTTAAATAGAAAATATTAAACTAAATTATACAATTAATTTAAAACAATTTTTGGACATTATTAAACATACCTTATAGTAGACGTCAGGCACATATTGTTTGTCCGAAGATTCTCGAACAAACCCCAATTCGGGTACATCCTTGGTTGGTACCAAACAATTATCTTTAACTAAAGCCATACACTGATTAGATACACTATAGCCTTCCATGTGTACTTGACATTTTTCATCTCCTGTAAACCACAAATAAATAAATAAGAATAAAAAATCATGTATTAGCTATTATAATTACTATCCAAAATTATCATAAATGCAAACACTGTGAAATTCACATAAACAACTTATAAAATTAATATTTCAATAGTTAATAATAAAAAAATGACATAAAATATCAACTCAATTTTAAATTGGCAATAAAAATACTGGATGGAAATATTTATAATAAACAYTGAAATATAATTGTGTTTTCAGATTATAAATTTATATGACAAACTGTTAGAATTATCACATAATACTTAAGTAMATAAAAATGTAATTGCAATTTTTCTACAAATAGTAAGTTTATGAAAAAAACTTGAGACTTGTAAAAATTATCATAAATTAGTAACTACTTTAAAAACATTTAACAACTGGACTCATATAAATTATAATTACATTATTTATCTTATATACATACCCGTAACACAGACAGTGACAAATTTTGAACCAAAATATCCATTGGAAGCATAACGGCAAGGATTTGGATGTAAATTTTGAAAATATCCAGCCATTATACATTCTTGAGCAGATAAAAAATGACTTTTTATGTTTCTAACATATTTTACCTAAGTTAATTAAAAATTGTAGAATACAATAAAGTAATAGTAAGAAATACACGATAAATACTCATACAGTTCCATTTTGCATGTCTTCAGTTAAAAGATCAGTAAAAATCCAACCAACAGACGTAAGTCCTAAGCATCTGGCCAATTCGTTAACTATATCTTGTTTTTCATCAGGCAATAATTTAACATGATCTCTTGAACTTTCCTAAAACATTAAGTGTGTGTTATGAATTGAACAGAAAAAAAATAAGTAGWTACATAATTTTCTTTTAAAACATGATTATATTTACTTGAGGTGGTTCATAAATTGCTGCAACTACAGCTCTTATACCAAGCGGTATATCAGGATGTATTTCATACCGCCCATACAAAAATCCAATACGTTGATGTCCTGTAATTCTCCAATAATTCAAAAAACGTTCTACCAACTCCGAGTTTTCGAACATAACATTGTCAACATGCCTATAGGTCTACCAAAATCAAGTTATCAATAAAATCAATACAAATAATAAAATAGTTCCCAAAAATGTACTTATTTTATTTTTTACCTGTCTGTTTAATGTAATAGCTGATGGTTGACATTTTGAACATATACCTTTTGGCCATGGTAAATGTCCAGCACAGCCTTCTTTTATCCGACAACTTATATTTTCTAATAGTAAAAATTTTCCTCTAAAAGTATAAATTTAATTTAATTAAATGATTTGTACAATTTAAAAAAAAAAATAGTTAAATTACTTTGCTATTCCAGCAGTCATTTTCCTTAAGTATGAATGAAAAGATAAATGCTTCATATTTTGTGTTTTTAAATATTCCTCATCGTATGGTTCTAAAGGTGAACAATGGACACAGCATCCATTATCTCCATGACGGCAACTAAAAATATATTTCATTATTACTAAGTTTATTAAGCAGTAATATGAATGTATGATATTATTTACTATTTTTTGTCTTTGAGACGTTTAATTTTTCCATCTAATTTCCATAGTTGTTTATCTACTTCATCTTCTTCGACTTGACTTGGTGATCCTGAATTTTTTTTTCCATTTGATGGTAGTGATGTAGTGGATCCTGGTGTAGACACAACTGATGAAGAACGACTTCCATTAGCAGAATCTGYATTTGACGGGCCAGGAATTGCCCATATATTATCTGGATCTAATGGACACAAGTATATCTTATCCCCATGTTTCAGATTTAAGTTGCTCAAGTATACACTTCTAGATGATTTAATTTCGTTTTTACGGTTTCGATCATTAAATAATGTGAAACCATAGTTTGTAAGGGAAAATACATTGTACACCTGTAAAAAAGTTGAAAATYATATTAGAAAATTAATTTTCTGAAATAGTGTTGAATGCACAATCGATGTTACTATAAAAATCTATTCTAATACTTCACATTTTAAACCAAAGGTTCTTAAATTTTATAAATTTCACTATTTTTAAAATATTAAATTTAAATCTTATAAAAAAGATAAATATTTCAATATATATAATTTAATACTTTTTCAAATAAATTATAACTTGATTCCGTAGGAGAAACTTGTACTCTTTTTGTTCCATCTGGAGATTCTACACGTAATACCTGGAAAAATGTTCAACTTTCAAATAATATATAAATTTATAAAATAATTGCTTTCCTAGGTAATTACTCCTGTACGTCTTAGGTTATCTAACAACTTGAATATCCAAAGTTATAAACCAATTTATTAAGAAAAGGATTAAATCATCTGTATGACAAATAAAGAATAATCTGGGAATAGTTTTAAATTGTAATAGGTAATTGTTGTTGAATTAAATCTTAATAGAAAAAAAAAAATACAACCGAAATGTGATACATTTAATGTTTAAGTCTATTAAAGAGTAATGTGAATAAAATAGAAATTAGACAATATTTGATGTATCAGAAAATTAAATTATCAATAAATCATAATCTAATTGGAATTTAAAAAGTAAATATTTGAAAACAAGTTAAATACTCCATGACACAGCACCTTTATATGAAAAAAAAGGATAATAATATTTACCTTGTATAACAATAGAAAAATGTAACTCATGATATTTAGACATTTAGATACTCACTATTTGTCCTGCCATTTCCCTGCAGTAAAGTTGCGATGATCGCGACTGAATGAATCAAAATGAACGCATCTGTTCCTCATAGAAACAAGGGAAAATTCAAAGAAAATTTTCGATATCAGAAGTGTTATCGATTCTACCAACTAACTATTACGTGTACAGTGCAGGGTCTAAAAATCGAAATTACGTTAAACTTATTCGATTATTTTTCATATGAATTTATTAAATGATTTTTAATAATTTATATACCATTTTATTATGTTAATATGATGTTAATTCGTGATTAGAGGTTTCCTAATTGTTTGCCGTATTAGACAATAAGCAATATTCGTCTGCAATAATTTTATTTCGTTAAAATAAAATCTATTGTATTAAAATATGAGTACGCCAGTAACAAAATATAACAATCAGTTATAGTTATCTCTGTTGGCAGCGCTGTATAAATGTTGACATTTTCCTTCACCAATTTTTAAAGTCTTTTTCCTTATCTAGTTGTAGAAAAATTGGAAATAATTTTCTTTTTTCCTTTTAATGAGTAATAACGCTTYCGTTTCATGCTTTGGTTGTCCTTCTTGAAGTTCGATGGTCGGAGGATAACGTCCGGCCTCTAGCACTGTATCGTAAGTGTTTAAATTCAACTTTTTGGATTTTTTTCTGTACATTGATTGTATAAGCAAATTATTTACAATCCAAGTACATTTTTAATATTATTTTCAAATAAAAAATAAATATTTAATAAGGAATTATTGTAAAATATAAAATACCGGAATTTATTAACACTTATTTATGTG